AGACAAGGGCTGAACACAGTGCTTTGAAAAGAAATATTAGAAATAGGGAGAAATGGAAGACCTGCAAGCTGGGTTTCTGTGACAAAACAGCCTTAGGCTGGCTGAAAGGCACGTTAAGTTCTTGTGAAATGCATTAACTATATAAGTTTTTCAACTGTTCTTCAGTTACATAGAGCTTTCATTAGTATGTGTTATACACTGAGATTAATAGTATGTTACTGACTTATGTTTATGATATTAGCTCATATGGAAGAGGTTAGGACAGAGCTTTGACTGTAATTTGGCGGGGGGGTGTTGTTTTGTTATACATAATACTCTTTAGCTATGCTATCACATTTTGCTTTGGTAGTTGTTTTCCACTGGTTTCCTGACCTCAATGCTGTGTTGGTAGCACAAATGTACAGGACAGCATAGGCAAGTTGAGTCTAATTTTTTCTTTTAACTTTTGAGTATTTGCCTCTAACGCTAGCAATGCTCATTTGATGTACTTTAATTTGCTGTTTAATATACTATAATTACTAACATTTTTCTCAAAACTGCAAGCAATAGAAGCTCTCTACTGTAAAAACTGCCCTAATCCCTACTACTATCAGATCTCATGTTCTCCTGGGGACTGAAGCTCGTTCTTTGCAGTTTTTGGTCCTGAATGTCTGTCTTTAGGCCTTGGCCCTTGAACAGACCTGAAGGAAATGTCTTTTCCCTGTTGCCTGTAGCATGAATTAGTCCAATTTTTACTATGATTTGAAGTTGGGAAGGGAGAGAAGATTTGGGTCTCTAAGAATACAGTAAAACCAATCCTTTAATGAATGAGGGACCAGACAGAAATATGAGCCATCTGATCTCCAAGAAGAGGTACCTATATGGGCAATGTGGGTACCAGCAATGGTACCCACAACCAGCAATGCTGGTAGAAAAGAAGGGAGTCAAGAACTAGCCTCGTACACAGATGTTATGGTTCATTTCTCATAGAAATATCCTTTCTAGATATTGACATTTGGCTGTTAAATGTTGCCAAACGTGCCCTGTAGTGACAACAGATGTTGAGCTTATTGTTCTGTTGGATGAAGAAGATGAGCAAGTAATAAATTAGAGATGCTAACAAAACCAGAAAGCATTCCAGAAGGTCAGATCTTACCTAATTTGAAATGATTTATTAAGATAATAATTCAAACCCAGCTTATGTATATTGAGAGTTTATTCACTTATACTCAAATAGGTTCATTGGATTTAGAGATGCTGCTATCACAGCTGAGAGCAGAATGTAGATTTTCTTTAGAATGGATTCTGTTTCAAAATGCCAGAGATTATTTAAACAGGGTTATTCTGAGTATTAAATACATTTTCTGTAAAAGACTGCTTTTCAAGAATTTATTTCTTGTGAAATCTATTCTTGATATATTATCATTCTCAGAAGAAAAGAATAAATATCTCCTTTTTCAGTATGCATCAGAATATAGCATCCTAGTGGCATGTGCAGACAAATAAAAAGTGTAGGAAGAACAAATCAATAATTCCAACCCCAGTATTTCACTTCCATCATTTCCAGTAAGGAAAGCAGATCTGGTTTACATTCTTTTTCAAAATGCTAGTTCATGTATCATTTTAAGCACTTTCCAAAAGTGAGGACTAGAAATGTAAGAACTAACATAATATAATATCATATAATCTCTAACATAAATAGTTGGCTTTGGTTTTTTAGTTTATGTATAAACAGTAGCTACCAGTGGGTGATGTAAAATACATTGCTATTAAGAGAATTTAGTTGAACAAACTGAAGGTAATTCAATGAGGTCAAGGAAGCTAGTCTACCTTTACATTGTTTAACTAGGCTTTTTTTGCATTGCACCACTGAAGTGTTGGTGGGAATAGTTGTTAGCAATATTCACCTCTAAACTGATACCTTTCGCAGTTTAAATGGAAGGATAAATGTAGATTAAGAGAATTCATGTTCACCATCATTTCCGCTCACAATTGGTACGTCTCAGGTGTTTTAGTGAAACTTCTCTCAATCTACTACTGAGGCCGAACGGGAGGACAGTTGCGCCAACAGGGACCTCTTTCAGGTGGTTTGGGATTGTAGCAATAGTCCTACACTGCCATCTCCAGCGCTCTGGAGTCTGCTACGCTTTGCAGTATGGCAAATCGATCTACTCCAAGAACAGAGGAAGGAGAGAATGTGCCCTTTTTTCTAGTCAGCTGCAGTTTGGTCCGTGCAAAGAATCACACTTCTCTTCAGTTACTAAGTTTTGTCAGTTCTCCCCATAGTGGGTTTTTACTTCAGCTTCGGAAAAGCAAGTTCATACTGTCATAAGAGAGCAGAGAAAACAGAAGATTCTCTTTACATGTGTAATATTGTAATTAAGTCCATACTCTTTGTTCTGTCCCTCAATTCATATATGTGTTTTAGGAATCAGTTTTCTTACAAGATATTTAATACAGTAAAGGCTTTCACATCTGTAGATTCCTAGCTGTCCAGATTTTCAGAGGTCCCAACAGTTGTGCTGGCCTTCTGAAAGCACAACTTGTTTAAAAAAAGATACAAGTCTTGCATATGTAGGTGAGTTTTGCCGTCTGTTTAAAGATCAGTATTTAAAAAGCAGACACCCAAAGAACTCAGCATATATTTTCTCAAATTCATACTGTATGCAGAAATGAAAGCTATTTTTCATAAACATGGTCCTTTCTGTCTCTTTATCTACACCACCACCTTCCTCCTCTGCAATTTCCTAGTGAGATTGTGCATTGTAACAAAACCTATGATGGCCTTCAAGCAGGTGGATATTTTAAAAAGAAATGAATAAGTACATAAAGCTATTTTCATATAAAATATTAGTATGAAAATGATAGCTCTGTGTTATGATTATTGCTCTTTTTGGATGAGACATCTTGGTAAGAATGCCTTTTCTGATTAATTTAAAGGAACTTTTATAATAGATAAGGGTAAAGGAGCCAATATTGGTTTGGAAGCCAAAAGGATTATAAGTATAATAAAACGTTGATTAGAAAGTCTGTTTCCAGAACTCTGCGCTGAACTTAGTGAAAACCCTGGAAGTGTGTCTGGTGATAATTATGTTTGAGAACAGCAGACACTGATTTAGGCATTCATTTTATTGATACCAAACTTTAAACTAGACATGTACTTGTGCCCTTATCTTATTAATGACTCAAGACCAAAATTTTAAGAAGTGTTATTTATTTTGCAGCTGGAGCAAGAATCCAAATGTTAATGTGCTTTGGCTAGAAGTCTCTCTAACAAGAGAAACTCTTTCCATGGTAGCTCCCTAGATGGATAGTTTTTTCATCAGTATTTGGAAGATGCAGGAAACTATTTTCTGTTTTGATTTTCCTTCTGAAAAGGTAAACACTATACCAGTTTGCCTTTTTAGATTCTAGTGGGGAAAAACCCACATTTAAAACTAATATAAGGGATGCAGTACTTTTTGCAGCAAAAATAATAGCATTGTAATCTTCCATAACAGAATAAAATGCAAATATACTACTTCTGCCGTTTCAGTTCTTAACATTGGGGGTGTCATCATACTTTTTTAAAGATCCAGTCACTAAATAATGCCAAAATTTGTTTTGTAAAATAGATAATACCTATCAGAGTTGATGATGCTTTCTTTATACCGTTTAGGTTTTAAGTTGCACAGTTTAGGTATATCAACAGTATGAGCTTTATTGTCGGCTACACAAGTGCCCTTTTACCTTGTGGGTACTTGGTGAATACATCCCACACTGCTGCACCTGCATGCTTGTCGGTACCCAGGCTCACTTGCATACTTCAGTGCAAGGTCCTGTTTTCAGGACCTCCTGTAGATGTCCTTCGTATTTTGAATCATTTAAAATTACCAGTATTTTCATTACATTACAATATGGCATATAGGCAGCATGCAAAAGTTATTGATTATAAAAAAACATTGCAAATAGATTTCAGCTAAAAATTAAAGTCTTGTTATACAGTCTCATCAGCTGAAATGGGAATAATAACCAATGACCGTGTTTTTAAAGGCAGTAAAGTCCCCAGAAGATGCAGAAATATTCTTACATATATTTGGAAAAGTGACTAAACACCTAAAAGGCAGCAGTGCACTATTATCCTATTAAAAATACTACAAAAAAATAGTTTTCAAGACTTTGACCTAAAGTATTTGTCCTAACTTTTCAGGAGACTATTGAGATTTGAGTCTTACAGTGAAACCTTCTTAACTTGATAAAGTGCATGTCCTGAATTGAATACTGAAATAAGTCTCACTGTTTGTCTGTTATCACATGTTCAGTTTTTCCACAAGGTATCGCTCAAGTTATCCTCTTCTACCAGTTGAACTACATTTCCCACTAAAATTAGGATTTTATTCATTCACATACATGATTATTTTATTAATAGTGAATGTTTCTTAATATCCTGAAAAAAAATTAATGCATTCCATTAGGGTAACCATATAATTTGCATTGATACAAATACAGGAAAGTAAAAAATACAGTATGCTGTGGTTCAAAACTTGTTCATCCAAAAATGTTTTGATCTAAGTCCAATATACTGCTGCTTAACACAAGCTCTTCTAATTGTGCAACTGATGTCTTAGGTTGTAGCTTACTCCCTTTTTAAATTATTCGTGTTTTCCAACTTTTTGAAGCACTTTCCAAATGTTACATTTTAGATTTTTTTAAAAGGCTGCCAATTTGAAGTAATTTCCTCTAGAAAAATGAGTTCTTTGTACATTTTCCTCTTTTAACAATGTTAGTTTAAATGTTGTAGTAAGCAAACAGGCACGTAACAGGGTTTAGCACTAAAAATGTTGTCATAACATGGCTATTGTATTCATTTTGCACATAATGATTATTTAGAGTTATAACTGAATATGTCACTGTATGATGGTAGAGAACAAAACCCCAAACTTAAAATCCTTATAGCTTTTTTTGGATGTCCTTATATTATTTTTAGTTGTCCTGTTACTGATCTATAAAAAAAGTTCTTTGCTTTGCCTTCCCTTTTATAGTTGTTTGAGATCACAGTGCCTCTCTCTCATGGCCCCAAACCTGTAACCGTCAGTTTTGCCAATCACACGTCCTGCCGATGCATGTCGAAGTTGGATGTTTACAGACAAGTTCATTCTATCATAAGACGTTCCTTGCCAGCAACACAAACTCAGTAAGTATGAGTCTTGTCTCTCCTTTCACATTATGAGTAAGCCTGTATAATTAGATTTAAAATATTGCTGGAAGCTTTCACAATTAAGATAGGTAAACTTACACACAGTAGTAGTAGTAGGAGTAGCAGAATGCATTTTGTAAAGGAGCTAATATTGTTTTATGTGGAGAGAATGTTACTAAAGTTACTAGCACGGTACCTTTTTACCCAATGGATAAACTGGGGCTGTTGTAATTACCATTGCAAGAGTTTATTCTAGCTGGGAAACAGCCACCTATAGCTACAGGGAAGTAAGCGTACAGATATAAGACTTTGACCAGCACTCAACAGGTAGCTGGCTGTCCAGTGAGTAAGGAATCATGCTTCAACAAAGGTAAGACAGAGTAGTACTAGATCAGAATATATACAGGCCTTCTCTACTGTTAAGTACTGTCTTTAAGTTTAAAATCTATGGCTTTTTACAAGAAAATAAATTTAAAAACAAAAAAAACACAACAAAACAAAAAACCAACCAAGCTGAGTGCTTCTAGATTCTAGAAAGGAAAGATATTTACGTGTTCCTGGTGAGTGCCCGGATGCTTTTCAGAATCTCTCTGTAGTTTTTTTAATTTGTACTCATGTTCTCAATTTAATTTCAAATTATTTTTCCTTAACATTTTTATTTATAGGTTTGAATGCTAGTGAAACTGTTGTAAAGTCAAAACTTGGAAATGTACTTTCTTGTCACAGTGGCAGATCTGCATGTGTGCATGTATTTATGTACATGCTCATTTTAACAGAAATACAGTAATGACTTTCTTATGTATTACTGAAAAGAAAAACCTAAGAGTATAATCTCTGGTTTTAGGGTAGTAACAGTTGGAATCTAATAAGAATTCAAGGCTGGATTATGCCACAATGCACAGGCACATGTTAGAAAGAAGAGAGAAATGACATGTCATAGATAGAATACAAACAGTCGATCTTTTTTTATATAAAATATATTTTCTGCACAACTTTATCCTGATAATTAAAGTCTAGGTCTTTGCCTGTTCTCCCGCTTTTTTGGTTGGGTTTTTTTTTTTTTTCCTTCTAAAAAGTAGTAGCTACTTCTACATACTTGCGGAGCTGAGGCATGTCAGTTCATGTTAACCAGTGTTTCAAGAATACCTCCTGGAGTAATGGTATTTTAAGTTGTACCCTTCTCTGTTTATATAGAATGTCATCAAGATGTGCAACAGAAAATTGTCACTCTGTTTTAGAAGTTTAGCGATTTGGGGTGGGGGGGAGCAGAGGGGCCTTCAGTATACATAGTTCAGATCCAAGTCTCTGTGATAACCTTTTTTTCCCATGGTCTGTAGGTAGGCGCTTACAGAGCTGATAAGCATATTTTAGATGTGGTTTGGATGTATGTTGTACACATTAAATGTTTCCCCTTCTTGTGCATTATCTGTCCTGACACTGACAGGTAACAAGTTAGCATGCTGACTTTTTTTTTTTTTTTAATTTTTTTTTTAAGTTGAGTTGACAATGATTTGGAAAGAGGTAGTGAAATTTTCTGCAAAGTTGTTTTGCCTCTGACTTTTTTTTTTCCTAGCCTTCCTGAACTTTCCTAAAATGTTACAATAAGTCATTTTAAAATTTCAGCCATATCCCCAGTAATTTTCTATACTAGCAACCAGAGTAGAATTTGTAAACAAGCAGTTCCAATTCCTTTTGCTGGGTGTCTCCAGCCCTGATGCTGAAATACATATCATTCTCTTCAAGTTCTGATAACTTGGGTTTTGAATCAACACTGTCTTTTAATGGGTTCACGTGTGCTTGGTGTTTTCTTCATACTGTCACCCTGGCTTCCTTCTGTAGTTAGTTTTAAACATGGCTAGAGCCAGGCTGCTCCAGGTGTGAGTTGTTGTTTGGTGGTTTTTTTTTTTTAAACAGAATATAATAATACATCTGTAAATTATCCATACTATTTCTCAAGCAGAATCAGGAGGCGGCCAAAAGGCGTATGTGCCAAGTGAAGGAGCAAGAGTGAGATCATTAGCAGAATGAAATCAGGAAACGCCAGCTTGATAAAACATGAGGCGATGCAGGGTGATGTTAAACTACAGCAGTCTTTACAAGCAGAGAGTCATTTAATGTGGTGAAGGGGAGTGGTACACTTGAATGATGATCACAGAAGAATGTCCCAGCACCTGCATTTTTGAATGCATGAGTAATGGTGCTCAGGGGAATTAAAAGTGCTTAAAATGTGTAATGTATGTGCTGTCTTAACAGATGAGGATTTTAGAAATACTACAGAAACAATGAATAAATGACACAGCCTGGATGCATGAAGTTAGGCATGACTTGTTAAAAGTTGTAATGTTACCTGTGGCAATAAAGAAATTGAAAGCAAGGAAGATCAAATAATACACAAATATTTTATCTATCTGTGGTGTACCTACTAGTTAAGTTCAGTCATCCTTTAAAAGGAGACCAATTGCTGTTAGGATTTTTTGCTTTCTTTGCTTACCACTACCTTGGCTGCAAAACTCTAGCAGGTAAAGAGCATTAAACTGTTAAATTGTTTATTGTCTTTCATTTCTAAAGTGAAGAGGCATCACTGCTGAAGTCCAAATCTTTAGATTCGAGAAAGCTGTCCAGGATTTGAGTGGCTGATGAGAAAGAGTCAGTTAATGTCACATAACTTTCACATAAAGGGAAAAGGAATCTGATAATCTAATTTTGTTCTAGAAATTGGTTTGGTCTACAGCATTCATTCAGAAACTATTATCAGCTGTCTTTTGATGTCTATATGTGTGAAAACATTTTTGTACTGCAAAAAACAATGTAGAAAATTATGCCTGTTGCCACCTACAACATATTTGGTATGCAACTGTTTTTTTTATATTTGTCTATTTTCTATATGAGGCGTACATTCAAGGGTTAGATCTGTTTCCAAACTACATTAGGAAAGTAAAAATATCAGTTTCTAGAAGTTGGAGCTAAAACTTGAAATGTGAGAAGGTATCTTCAACCAACGGGGAGAAACTTAATTAGTAACAGATTTGACAAGAGTTAAAAATAAGATTATGAATGAGCTGAATCTCTTTGAAAGGTCGTTTGTAATGGAGGGAAACAAAAGCAATTAGCACCTAAAATCGATTTTTTTTCTTTCTTGAGTTCTTACAGTAGTAAATCAACAGTATATTTCATTCCACAGGTGTCATGTGGCAAACAAGACCTGTCCAAAAAATCATATCTGGAATAATCAAATTTGCAGATGTTTGGCACAGCATGATTTTGGTTTCTCTTCTCACCTTGGAGATTCTGGTAAGAAGTTTTGCTTAAACAATTAAATGTAGTTCCATGTTTTGATTTATCTAAAGGAGAAATTAAAAATATGAAAAGCAAATAGTTGAATCTTTTTCTTTATTGATACTATTACTGGTTGTTGCCTGTCTTTTGACATATGTTTGTTCTTAAAACACCTTAAAATGTATGAATTCGATACCGTTTCTTCCCTTAAAAATATGGGATGGGTAGAGACAAAATTTTGATAATTCTGCAACTTCTCTGCTGTATTTCTAGACACATCTGAAGGATTCCATATTTGTGGACCAAACAAGGAGTTGGATGAAGAAACCTGTCAATGTGTCTGCAAAGGAGGCATGCGGCCCTCAAGCTGTGGACCTCACAAAGAATTAGACAGATCATCATGTCAGTGCATGTGCAAAAACAAACTTCTCCCCACTTCCTGTGGGCCCAACAAGGAATTTGATGAAGATAAGTGCCAGTGTGTATGTAAAAAGACCTGTCCTAAACATCAGCCACTAAACCCTGCAAAATGCATCTGTGAATGTATAGAATCTCCCAATAAATGCTTCTTAAAAGGAAAAAGGTTCCATCACCAGACATGCAGGTAAAAACTCATTCTTGTTGGATTGCTTTGTAACCTCAAGTAAACAGTAAGCCTCTCTTCAATTCAGTTTTATCTTCTATGATTTTTACCACCTCTAAGAGGAAACTACTAGGCAGAAAGAGTATTTTAAAGCATATTTATTTTCTTTTACTCTTACTACTACTTCATGTGATTTATTTTTTTCTCTTTTGATGAAAATGAGGTGTAAGTTCAAGCTCCTTGTTTTTTTATGCTACTCAAAATCCCACTCTATTTTTCCCAAGAACCAAATATTGCAATTCAAATAACTCAAATGTTTATAATTAGATTTCAGGAATTAATTCTGGAGGATACCATCATTGATTTTCGCTTCCTACATTTTTGCATATTCTTCATTTCACTCAACTGATACTAAAGATTTATGAGTGCATAAAAATCTTAAAGCTCTGGGTGGTTTCTGTGAAAAGTAGACATATATCACTATAAAACAGACCGCCCACATTCATCATTTAAAATGAGATTTGGTTAGGAATAAAACTCTGCAATTTCTTTATATATCACAGGAGCTTTTCCTTCCATGACTTCTACACCCATAGTGGTAGCAGTCTAGTCATAAAAATGCAAACAACTTCAGGTTCTGAGAAACAAACTATTATTTCTGCTTTGTATATTTTGTGAGGAAAGTTTTCCTGTAAAGTGAATTTGTTAAAACAGGAAGAATCCCATTTGGAACAGAAAGATCACTTATTTATTAATATATGGCAATTATTTCTATTATATTAATGACAAATAACAATTCCAGAAATGTTCAGGCACTGGAAATGGAAAATAGAAAATTGGTAATTCATTGCTTATCAAAAGTAAACCTTATGTATATTTTAATATAACATGTAATTAGTTCGCATAAATATATTGCCATATATATACACACACATTACTTCATCTTGAATAAAGAACAAATGTCTAATATTAGGAATGAGACCTGTGTTCAAGTCTCTAAAGTTAATAATAACTGACATTACCTATTTTCCTATGTTTGGCCTTTTGAGTGGAATAGGAGAGTTGTTATAATCATAAAAAATAATTTCTTCTCTATTGTTCAGTTTTTATTTCAATTTTATGTTTGCAGGGGAAAAAAACCCAACCTTATTACATGAGCTTTAGCACATTACAAAGCCTTAGCACTGCACACTCAAGTGTGCAGTTCCAGCAGTGCTATACATATAAACGCTGTGTGTTTTTAAAAGAACATTCACAACTGGAAAAGTCAGGCATTTAAAAAGCAAAGAAATGGCATCAGATATCTATTATGGCACCTCTATTAATTTAAAGACTTAGTATTTGAAGGAGGAAATTAAGCTCAGCTTTTCTCTGTGTTGTTGTGGTTGAATGTGATAAAGAGTTTGAATCCCTTTCTCACTTCCAAGGACAATGTGATATAGGATGCTTTTAGCTGTTTCTCTTTTCTAAGCAGTTCATCTTTGTGTGGAGAAAGAGAGAAAGATTTTTATATGGTGTTACTCTATAGCTCTACAACCAATAGCCCTGTAGATAGTCAAGGAAAATAGAAGATGCCATCTCTCCTCCTTCTTAAGAAAGCACTTAGCATAGGTTTCTCACATTTTTGGTGTGTCCACAAGCTTTCTGTAAAAGGAATATAAACCCTGCAACATCCTGTTTGTCGTTTGAAAGAAAGATCCCTTGCTGTTATGAGACCACGTAAATAGAGATACCACTCTATAGCTTTGTGCAAGATGCCTGAGACCTAGACGTGAGCAGACCCCTGTAGCTGTGTCCTAGACAGCTCCCCATGCAGGCAGACAGTCCTTGTAGGTTTTGGTTTTGAAGCACCTGCATTTTTATGCACTGTACCTAAAATGCTTCTGCCTCTAACGTTAGACCCTGCTCCAGAGGACAGGAATAAAAAGTCATTTAGAAAGAACAGGACAGGAAGAAAAAAGAAAAGGAAAAAAAAAACCCAAACACACACCATAATGCATACTGGCTTTTAAGGTGATTATGCTGTTACCACCACTAAAAGTAGCATTCCTACTTCAGTTTCATCTGTGCAGATGTTAGACTTTCCAAAATCTCAAACCTGAGCATTTGGTAGGAAAAATCACAATTACTGACCATAAAGAGAAGGTTGCCACTGTCTCGCCTGCACTATACATATTGGCTGCACATCTATCTTAGCTCCAACATGCTCAGATTGTCCTCATCAAAACAGACATCTGTCACATGAAAGCACTCCATAAACAACAGTCAGCCTAAATCTTTTGAAAGACCTGGTCTATTGTTCAGCAGTTTCCTAAGGAAACCCCATTTATATAGTAACAATGACTCTACTACTATTCACCCTGTGCTATCACCTCAAAAATTTATTTTGGTCAGTTTTGGTAGGGCCAGATAAGTAGGCACCTCAGCTGCAAAGCATTTTAGAGGAGGAGAGGGGCTTTCTTGCTCTGTTGAAATGCCCCAAATAAGGATAAGACTGCAGTAACCTGACCTTGACTGCTGCTAGACACACACTCACATGGGAGAGATGCTTTATAGTGCTGTCGGCTGTAAGTGAAGTTGAAGTTCACAGTTCACTAGGAGGCACGAATCCTAAACAAAGTGAACTCCTCATATTTAATGATTACGTGACTGCTTTTCATTTTGTGCAACATGTCATAGGTGGGTGAAAGAGTTTGGCTTTGTCTCTTTTTTTTTTTTCCCCTCATCTTTCTCTTATTTCATTCTGTGGTCATTCAGTACATGAAATAGTCTAACTTTCATGGCAGAGACCAGCAAAAAGGCAAGTGAGTTCAGTATTTCATCCATTGCATATCTGTGGAACACCTTTTTCCCGGAACAAACCTACTGCTGGTTGCCCATTTGCTCAGAGTATTAGATCCTTTGGCAAACGTGCAAGACAGCTTTCTTTCTCAAGTGACACTGTGATTTTTGTTGCTTTTTACCATTGTTTCCAAACTTTATTGGGCAAAAGATCAGTAGGGCTTTGAGAGATTCCCATGAGCTGTTACACTGATCTCAAATATATTAAGTGGCATAAAATAATGTTACTCCCTTAACTACAGAGACCACACTGGTGAACTAATCTATGATTAATGACATTGAAAACACTGAACAAGATGTGACTAGTTAATAAATGTCATGTTTGCAGTCTTCCTCATTCCTTATTGTTTTCCTCATAACCAGGTTCATTGGTTGAACTAGCTGGCTTGAATTAATATAACTGTAATCCAGACCTCATATCATAAACAAATTATTGCAAAGTAGCAACTTGGTATCCAAAACAAGCATGCAACTTTTTAACTTATCTGCAACAATAATAAGAGTAGCCCCAAGCCTGAAACAAGAATTGCCTAGGGAAGAGGATAGTGACATTGCCTTAATATAGTGTACTGTAGTGTCTTTCAACTGAAGTAAGTATGAATTATAGTAATAGATCATAATATCAGTGTTTCACAAACAGGCACACATTATTTAAATACAAGTTTTAAGTATAAGTGTGTTGAAATTCGAAACATATATTTTGTCTTTTGACTCATTGCCAGCATCTGAAAAAAAACCCAGACTTGTACTTTGTCTCCATTATATACCAGAAAGTATTTAGCATTGTTATTGTAAGGTTATTTTAGGTCAAGTTCTTGTTTTAATAGAAAAAATAAAATAGGAAAAGGAAGAGTTCAGGGACAACTACAGATATTATCATTGTATAAGTTCTATTTTTCAGTCAAGGAATCTGTGAAGAAAAATTCTGCTGCTGCTTAGGTAGATGTGATGTGTTGTTTACCGCTCTATTTCTGTTAAACTTATTTTAATCAAATAGGGACTATTTCTGTTCTTTTTCCTTTAACATTTATCATAAACATGCAGGCTCTGATCTTACTTCAGAATGCACATAGATGCAATATGAAGTGTAGATCTATCCCCGCTGGCTTCAGAGAGCGGCTATAGGAGTTTGCAACCTGAAAGGAAGTATGTTCTCATTTTCAAGATCAGAGTCACAGTGTAACATACGTAGACAAATCTCTCTCAGGCTTTATTGCATTAGTGAAAAAGGTGAGAAACAGTCCTGAGTAAGAAGGTGGTAGATTTGATTATCACCTGATTCTGGATTGCCACCTCAAACTGGCAGCATGCAGTAGGTCATAACAAGCCAATTTGAGTACAGAAAAATATTACTGTATTTTCAAAATTAAATTTTAAAAAGTACTACTCAAGATTAGAATGCGACTACAGCCAGGCAATATGTTAAAATATTTATGAGTAGCTGTTGCAATAGAATGATTTCTCTTCAATAGCATTCGTTATTCTTTCATTGTCTTTTGTGAAAAATAGTCCAATTAAAAGTAGTTGCAAGAACAGAAACAGAAGTTAAAAGATACGTATTTGTAGGAATTAAATATCCCATCGAGAAATGGCAATCTAAATGCACACAGATTTCTACTCCAGGTTAATATAAATGATCATGTTATATTAATGCCCACTTTTTTTCATTTCTTTAGTTGTTACAGACCGCCGTGTACAGTCAGAACGAAACGCTGTGATGCTGGACTTTATTTTAGTGAAGAAGTGTGCCGCTGTGTACCCACATATTGGAAAAGACCACTTATGAATTAGTGAAGAGAGCACTACTTGCTGTTTTGGTGTACATTTTTCCATTAGAACAAAAGAACAACAGAAACTTTGCTAATATTTGGAATTAAATGTTCACCAGAGACCCTGTGGGGCTTTCAGAGACAGACGCATTGTGCTTTTCTCAAGATGCGGAAAGCAAATGTAGGAAATAACTGGGGTTCATGTTTTGTAAAGAACTCAATAAGGACTTATTTTCTGCCAATGACCAAACAGCCTAGTTTCTCCTTCTTGTGATTTTTTTTTTTTAAGAGATAATGACTATATAATTTATTTCCACTAAAACCATTGTGCAGCATTTCTGTTTATAGCAGTAACAATTGTTAAAGCTCACTGTGATCAATATTTTTATATCATGCAAAGTATGTTTAAAATAAAATGGAAATTGTATTATATAATGGTGAGAATGTTTAATCATCTGCCTAAAGAAAGGAACTACAATTCAGCTTTATTATCAGAGTTCTTAAAAGGGGGAAAGGCGATTAAGAGAAAGCACTTTTATGAAAGGAAGGCTACAGACATTTTCGAATACCTGTTGTATATGACATTTGAAATAGAAAAAGTTGTACTTAGTGTTTCATGATACAGTGATATTTCTGTCTCTAGAACGAAACTAGCAAAGCAAGTACAATTAATAACTAATGAAAACATTGGAGATCCTGTACATTGCCCAAGGATAAGGACTACATTTAAAGGACAGCAGCAACTACTCACATTCCAATATATTCACCTTTCTTCTAGAATTCCTAAAGAATAATATAAAATAATATCTATTGAAGGTTATTAGTAGGAAAGTAGAAATGCCAACTATGCTTTTTATTTAGTATTACAGGCTATATTGTAAAATTTACAACTACATAATTCAGAATGCTTTGATGCACTTTTACTCTTTCGTATAGTCAATCAGATATCTTGGTCAAAAATGTATATGTGTGCAAAAATACTTTGAAGGAAAATAATACATTTTACATTCCAATGGGGACATGAAAGGACTTCCACCAGTCGGGTATGGATTGACATCATCTCTACACAAAAAATGGTCAGGACTTCTCTTTATTAAAGAGAATGAGAAATCAAACACCTACAACTCTGAAAAGAGGTAAGATTTTTAACTTGCATGGGAAGAGCAATCTGCATAGAACAATCTAGTCAAAATTAAAATGTTTCAGAAGTTGGAAGGAAGTTGTTAAATTATGGAAACTTTATTGGGTGCAGAAGTGGAACAAGCAAAGCTGCAAAGCAAGATTTTTGTGACAGGAGTGGGCAGATCTGCAAAAATAATTTTAGATGTCATTATTCTGAAGTGCTTGTTCTAAGCAGCTGTTCTTAAAAGCATTATTAATTAAGTAGTATTATTTCTGATTATTTCCAATAAAGTTGGTGATGGGGATTTGCTTTTCTAAATTCTTGAATATTTAGATATCAGAGTTCCTAAAACTGAGTAAAAGGTACTTTTAATTTCTCAGCCCCCATCATGAGTTGAGACAGTCTAACAAGTAGGCAGGATGAGAGGCAGTTTGAGAGTTCACACTTTCCACTGTATTGTCTATGTCCTCAATGTTCTTCCTAAGAGACCAGCTATTTATTTTCCAAATAGGATAATAGGAGGAAGTTTAGGCATACGAATACTGAGGAATGTCTTCATTACTATATTGCCTCAGCAGTCAGATGCAAGTAGAACTCCAGATGATTTAACACTGAAATACAACTTTATGCTAATATAACAACCCACAATTCCCATCGGTTGGATTAGCAGTCATGTAAATCAACAGTGTCTAAACTGGCAATGTCAATCTAATAGCAAGAGGTTAATAGTCAAAACTTCATTCAGTATTACTAGAGATCCAGGCATCCACTTCTGTATGTCAGCTGCTTGAAGGAAGCATAAAATACCTTAAGAAATCAATTAAAGAGCAAACTTTAATGAAGACTTGCAAAAACAAGCTGTAGGTGAAACTCCCAAAATAAGCTTTTTAATTTCTATCCAAGCCCAATACAGAAGAGGGGCCATGGGGGAAGGACAAACCAAATCTGAAACCAGGAATAGATGCTAAGTAAACCAGTATCTAACAGATAAAATCTGTACTCGTGGTTAAAAAGGAGGAGGGCACAAGTGGAGACAGAGCAAAACTGCATTCTATGTAGATTATAAAAAGTGCATGTTACAATACCGTGCAAATAAAAACATTAGTAAACTGAGCAATGCTCACTTTACATGTCTAAAGTATCTGAAAGGAGTTCATGAAAACGGAGCTAATAAAAGCATTCTGGCTAAGCAGATATTTGGATTTCTACCGAGCATGCTACACTCCAAAATCATAAACCCCATCAGGGTAGGGAAGGGAAGGCAGGGAGTTTGAAGATGAGAGCACTGAACAAGAAGCACCAACTTTATTAAAAACATCAGCATTGAATAAGAATGACTTTCTCAAATGCAGTTTTTTCAATTGCTTAACTTTCCACATACTGAGTCTTTTGGACATAAATTATGTAAATCACTAAGTAAAACTAAGATTTAAAGAAAGCAAAGAACTGACTTCTAAAAGTTACCACAAATTAGGTTTATGTCTGAGCAAAGTGACTGGTCAACTGTTCTCAAAGGTATGCAGATGAGTAGAATAATATATGCAAGCAGTTAATAACATTTTCTGGTAATCAGGTTCTCCAATTCCGCTTTACATGAAAATAACGTTTTTTTAAAAACGCATTATACACAAGAACACAATAAATATCACAGTTATTATCACTAGTATAGGCTACAGATTTCCCATTCTAAGTGATAAAATGTGATTCTGTTATTCTCAATACTGTCACAAAATCATCTATATTTAAGCAAGTGTTTATCTGTAGAGAACTGTAGAGTGGCGGTATAATCTGCATAGCAGGTCTTCCTTGCATCTATTATATAAAGTAGCTGATATATTTGCACCATTTTCAGTTTTGAAGTGTTATTTGCTTATAATCTCCTTGCAATTTTCATCTTAATTTCAAATCTTAATTTAGTATTCTTAAAATATATTTAAAAAGAGACTATACAGCTTAAAAGAAGATCTAAAAATATAGGTGATAATTCTATATACAAGTTATTCTGCACTAACTCTGAATAAAAAGCTTGTATTGTTATTTGTCTAAACCTCCCTGTACCTTCTACAAAAAATAAAAGGGGGGCGGGAGAGAAAGAGAGCGCGCGTGTAACGCTGCAGTAAATCACATTTAATGGACTTACGCTTGCATTTCATCAGGAGTTTACAACAGTTTCTGTACTCTTTCAATATCGTACTATATGGAGACCATAAATTAGACAGAGCAACCCCTCTCTACCTGTATTAACAGAAGGATAATACTATTTACAGCATGAGTGTTGTTAGTCTGCTGGCATGTTTGTTTAATTCATGTTGAACACGATGATAGTAAATCAATTCTCCTAGTTCTATTTGAAAGACCAGCATGAAATCTCTCATATGTACCATATCATCTTGAAAGGCTTAGTGTTAGGATTGCTTTCAATATGCTCATTTTCAGTCTTCAGATCTCAGTGACAACTCCAGATGCCCTTGAATTTTAACATCTCTCTCTCTCTGATTTTCTGGAAGTATAACTAGCTATCACATCTATGCCAAAAGCTAGGAATGGAATAATTTATGCAGCCAGTGAGCTCATCAACAGATTACCCTGAGGGATAGAATATATTCTTTAAATATTATTTAATTTATTAAGTATTATTTAATTTTGCATTATTTGGAGGTACAAAAGGTTGCCCTCAAGTAGAAAAGTTTAAAAGTGATCAACTCAGAACCTTTGTAATTTAGTCAATATGATATAGTAATAATTTTTAATATTATAGGTTTTTTACTTTATTGAAAAAATGAAAATAATAGTTGATTATTTAATAGCTTCCTTTTGTTCTCTTTCTCTTTTCCTTTCCCCTCTCAGATAAAACTTCGGGGAAAGAACACAAGACAACCTTCTGACTGAGTGATGAAATGGACCAGGTATTTAATTTTTTTTAATGTAATATGAAGGACTAATAAGGGCTAATAAAATTAGGCCAGTTTAATGCAGGTTTAAGACTCCAGATTACACTAGACTTCTTAAAAGCTCTGGATAGATCAAAACATTTTTATAGGATAACATATCTGGACTCATTTTATCTAGATTTTCACGTCCAAATATTGTAATGGAATCTGAACAGTAGTAAGCATTAGGAGTTCACCAATTGTACAATAGCACAGTTTCTAAAATTTCAGTAATTTATCATTGTAAAAATGTATATTTTATCTATAGTCTGAACTTATGAATCAGTCTTCATCTTAAGAATGTATTGAATTACAAAACACAGCACATTCCAGAAAAAAAAATAAAAATCTTAAAACACAATGCTTTGCTTTTTTGTATAAGCATTGCTACTTGTTGGCAAACCGCTATGGAAATCTCTGAAAATTGTATATTACCATTTATTCCCTTTTGTTCTCAGCAAAACATTGTCATGAAAATAACATCTTGTAGATTCAGATATTTTTCCTGAGTAAGGGTACTGTATCCGGTCCTAACAGACACTGACCTTTCAACTGAGTTTCAGCAAACTCTATCCATTTTCTACATTTATAATCAGCCATATGTGGTCACTGAACTCTTCCCCTTTGCCCCCTTTCTCAAATTACTTCTCTTAGATTTCTGGACCATATCTCAGTCTCCCCATAAGAATAACTGTATTTCCCTTTCAGCCTTTCTCACGTATCACTGTTAACTCTAACCCTTCCATTTCCCTTTCATATCCAATCTCTCACTAAAAATGGCACTGCTTTCCTCTCTATCACAAGTAAGACCTCTTTCCTCTCTCTACTTTAAATAATCATGCCAACATGGGCATTAATCTGTTTTTAGTTGTCTAGTGATACTCTTAACTATAGATATGTGAAAGAACAACTGTTAAAAAGAAGTCTGAAACTTCACATTCCAAGTGTGCAGATCCCATCTGCCCAAGC